CCAGCCACTCTGTCCCCAGCCTGGAGCACTGCATGGGATTGTTATAGTTGGGCATGTTTTTTTCTGGCAATCATTTCCTTATCCTCACTATTTTTTCATACAGAAACCGCTAACTAAGCAAAAGAACTTAACTTCCACTTGCATTTTAATTCTTCAGCCTTAGCAGACACTCTAGGAAATAAAAGAGCATGAAACTTAAGTCTCTGTAATCTTTGAAGAACCTGCTGCCACAACATAATCAATACTGCTCTTTCCTATCAGCATTTGTCCTTAGGAAGATTAAATTAAGCCATTCCCCCACTGACACGTTCAGGTCTGTAGCCTGACTTCATCATGCTTCTGAAGGCTGTATGACAAGAGCTGTGTCACCTCATCTAGCCCATCTAGCCTAAAGCATGAGGTCAGCAGCTCCATCATCCCCAAAAGCCTGGCCATTTCTTTCTCCCTGCTGGAGCCTGCTCCTGGGGTCAAACCAAACATGTAGCATGTGTTGTGACTGCTGACATGGTTCTACCTGCACACAGAAAACCCAGGCCACATTCTTAGCATACAAGCATTTTCACTAAGCCTTGTGCAGGATTTCTATCAGCAAACTTGGGGTTTTTTTTCACTTCACAGTCTTTCTGTGGGTGGCAGAAATTCTTACTGGCCCCTTTCTCAAGGTGTAGGTTCAGGTCTGCTGAAAAACAAGTTCTGTACAGCTCACTAATGTCAATATTTACCGTTGTTATCCCGTTTATCCTCCTTTCTAGATACTGGGAGAGAAGGAAGTGGGAGAAAGAGTAACAATTGTTTGTTGATAACAGGAAAATGCCTTTTGAATTTCAGTGTTGAGCCTGAGATGTGAAACAACTCTTTGTGCTAGCAAAAGGCACACAGTCGGTATCACGGCTATTTGCAGGATCAGCCATGTGCTTTGCATGTTTTGTACACGTTGCATGGGCATACTTTAGACATGAGTGTTTGAAAACTCTGACCCCACCCCCACAGTAGTATTCTAACAAGCTAGATGTAAGCTTTTCAATGTGACATTTTGCATTCAAGAATTAAGCTGCGAAGTAATAACCTTTATTTTGTTTTAAACAGAGCAAATTATTGAAAAAGATGAAGGTCCTTTCTATACCCATCTAGGAGCCGGTCCTAATGTGGCAGCTATTAGAGAAATCATGGAAGAAAGGTAATTAGTGCAAAGGCACAGAGCAGATTAACGTTTATCCTTTTGTGGATGTCAGAATTTTTCCAGCTTTTGCACATAAAGAAATAAACAACTGCAAATCAAGTAATTACTTGTAGGCTTAGCTACTCCAGTGTTGCCAACATGACGCACTGTGCTATTCACCAGAGAGTCACAATATTTGACAGGGCTAATAGTCTGCTGGCTGGCACAGGCTGCACACTTTGAGACAGATGCCAGCAAACCCAGGCCGGAACAAGTATTCACCAGCCTGCCAAGCAAGATGGTTGGCAGTGGCTGCAAAAGCAGGCGTGGAGCTGGTGTTCCCTCTGGGTAGAAGAATGCCAACGTAGAAGGATAAAGAACACAATACCAAACTTCGACTTCAGTTTCCCCTCGTCAAATTACTTAATAAGTGATACAGCCCTAAAGGGCTAAATCTAACTCAGTCGTGTCCAGAGGAGTGCCACAAAATTGTTGGATAGGATTTCAGCCCAAGAACTGATAAGTAGTTTTGTGAAATAACATCCTCCTTCCTTGGAGTATTGCACAAACCCAGTCTTATCTTGATTGTGGACAACCCCTGTTATGCTGCATCCCAAGATTTATTTATTACATCAACACTAACCAAACTAGGAATTTTTAAAGGCACAGAATGAATATATGATCTGTGCTATTTAAAAGCATGTGTAAGTACAAAACCCACCAGTCTTTCTAAGGCATTTTAAGTTAAAAGCTGTCACAAAAATGACTTCTGTGCTGCAAATTCTGCATTACTTTAGCTTTTGGTGGGCAGACTATAATGACCAGATTTTTAGAGGTATCTGGGAATTCAATTCCCCTCTAAACAAAGAAGCAAACAAAATGCTCTTCAGTAAGTCAGAGACAGATGGGAATTCGATTTGTTAGTACCTTAAAAAAACTGGACTCAGAACTGTAATGAAGCTCCAGCTAGCTGCAGAGCCAAAAGCAAGTGAGCATTATTCAGTGCTGTGTGTGAGCTAAGGAGCACTGTATCTTAGTAAGGTCTACTAGCTTATGATCATCACTGCACAACCATGGGCCACTTACAGCATATTAAACACTTCAGATTACCTCCAAGTCCTAAGGTCCTTTCTCTTTCCTAGCACTTCCTTCCCTGTGACTCCTGTGCACAGCTTGCCCCAGTAATTGTTTTCAGCTTTGAGAACAGCTTGAATTCATGTAAGCTACATAAACAGCTTCTTCCTGTGAAGGAAGAGTGAACACTGACCCTCTGGAGAAGCTTTTTACAATTTGTCATCTCCAGAGCTCCCATTGACTGGTTAATTCTTTAGTATTTACAAATAGTAAATAAAAGGAAAGTAATTTATGTCATGATGTCAATTATTACAGATTAAGCTTTTTACGTTTCTTTACTTTGGAATGTCATTTTTCAACCTTTATATTGACCTCACCTTTTTTATATTTTTAATTAATTTAATTTCATTTCATGTTTGCAGAAGGAAATCCTGAGAGATTATAGATAATATGCATCTACTCAGCCAGGTTCAAAATTCAGCAGAACAGGAGCCATTTGAACAATGTTTTCAGCTGTTCATATGGTATGAACTGTGTAATTCCCTGACAAGAATTCCAGAACTGCTCATTAGTTAATTTTGTATGCCTAAGTTAAAAAAAAAAAAAGCCCCTTCTCTGTAAAGATACTCTCAAACACGTGTGCGGCTGGGGACACTAATCACAACTGAAGCACTTCTAACCTGGTTTCCCATGAATATGAACAATGTTTTCAGCTGTTCATATGGTATGAACTGTGTAATTCCCTGACAAGAATTCCAGAACTGCTCATTAGTTAATTTTGTATGCCTAAGTTAAAAAAAAAAAAAGCCCCTTCTCTGTAAAGATACTCTCAAACACGTGTGCGGCTGGGGACACTAATCACAACTGAAGCACTTCTAACCTGGTTTCCCATGAATATGGATTCACTTTTAAGGTACCAGCACTGCTAAACAAACCAGGATTTTGATTTAGACTTGTAGTTAATATTTTAGTTATAACAGAACAAATTTCTGGCAGGATCCATGGTGGATATATACATTTTACCTCTTCCTTCTCCCAGTTCCTACTTCATGCTCAGTAAGTTTTGCTCCAGTTTTAAAGCCAATCAGCTTTGGCCTGAAGGCAAGCATGGCAAACATCAGGCACGAATTCCTTTGTGACAGTTGAAAAGATTTGAGACAAAGTCCATTTCATTTCCAGTGTGTAATGTACAACATATCTCTATAGAGGCATCCACATAGTTGTCCTGCAATCCAGATTAGCAAATTGATAGAAAGCGTTAAGATTTAAAAATGGGTTTTTTATGTGGTTAAAGAAACAAATAAATACTAACATCCAAGCCTAAGCAGGAAAAAGTGACCTAAGAGTTGCCTGCAGAACATGTGTAGTACAACTTGATTTTATTTGTATAATTTCCTGTGACACTGAAACTTCACAATGAGATCACATCTAAAAATAAGCATTTTTCATTTCCTTTACAGGACAAACGTTTAAATACAAATATTGACCCTTAAATATGTCCCCAAGATTTTAGTGTAAAAACAAGAGGGGAAAAGTTCAAAAGTTCTCAAGGCATTATTAAATGGCTGCATAACAGGAAGGAACTATCTTGATTGCTCTATAGGTAACAGGCAAAGAACAGGGAGACTGTGATTTAGTCCCCACACTCGGCTATTAAAAAGGTAACACCATTGAGACTGGCAGAATTCAAGAACTGGTGATGGAAGTGCAATTTGCTCAGTCCCAACATGCAGCCAAATCAACGAGGTAGCTCAGTCTGTAACGAGGCAGCCAAGGTGGTTTCCATCGCTTGGCCTCACCTGAGCCCTGGTGTGCTCCAGGGGTCAGCTGGTGGGCACCTCCCAGAGAATGTGCCTGGTAATGGCTTAACAACTCTGGCACTTTCTGTTCACTCAGGATTTGCTTCACTTAGTGTTTGCCACATATTTCCACCTGGTCCATCAGAGGACATAGAAAGTGAATCCCATTTGCTCTGGATAATGGCACTACTTGCACACAGAGCTTGATTCTGCCTTGACAGCATAATCACCTTGATTAAATGGTTTGGCAAGAGCTGAGCTTGCCCACCTTGGTCAAAAAAAGACACAAACAAATGGCATCATTCGAGGGCAACTCGTGATCCTAATAGGAGTATAGAAGTCCAGTGGAAGTAAATAAGTAACAAGTGGATGATAAAGTAAATAAAATAGATATGATGCAAATTAATTGACTTAACTGTTTCTAAGCCTGAAACAAGCACAGGAAATTAATAGAGTGACTATTGCATGCCAGCTGTTCCATGACAATTTAAATATGTACATTTCAGAGTAGTAACTTTAAAACAGAAATGAAAGAAAAATATAAAATTCATTACCAAAATTGTTTTCTTTTTTATTAAAGTCTGCTTTTCAAAATGTCATCTATAACAAATGCTCTAAAGAAATGGTTAAAAGGTTTGGGAATATTAATGGGATATTGATAATTTTTATCCATCCATGATATATTAAAGACATTTGCCTCTCTTAGTGTATCAACCCCCCGCTGTAATAAAGTCAGCAAGATAAACCACACTGTACATCTTTCCCTGTAATTCATAGTGTTTATTTTTCGAAGATCAGAGTGGCTCCGTCTTTTCAGTGTTCACACAGAACCAAATGAATCTGCTTATTGTATGTATTTTTGTTTGTTTAAGATTTGGACAGAAGGGTAAAGCTATAAGGATTGAGAGGGTTGTCTACACTGGGAAAGAAGGCAAAAGTTCCCAAGGTTGTCCAATTGCTAAATGGGTAAGTGATGTACACAGTCTAGTCCAGCATGATGGTTCATGTAAGCTGACAGCAGTGACATGTCCTTCTGTTAGCTGACGCTGTGAAACTTAAAATAGCTTAACAGCAGCAGTACTACAGGGCACCTGTAGCCTGCTCCCACCCATCTCCCACACTCCATTTACTTGTTGCACAGAAAACAAGAATAAAATTTGGCTTAAAGGTCTGAAAACCTAAGAAGGTTAGATGTAAGATTCACAACACCAGTCATTCTCATTGCTGTTTAATTTTAGCTTACAAGTAAGTCCCGTAAGTGCACCACTGTGATGTTTTTAAAATACACTCACACTTTGAGAGGTGTTACAACACCCTCTTAGCAAACACTTTTGTACTTTGGTGCAAATGACAGAGTGGTTTGGATCTGCTGGCAAAGACAGGATGAGGAAAAACTGATACATTATTATAGTCTTTATGCATGCCAGACTGCACCCTTTTTTTCAGAAATGCTTCTCAGTGCTTATGCTCCTGTAAGGACACTGTTTTATTTGAACAACATCTACTGTTTTCCTCTCATCACTGTAATGTTTGTATGTAGTAAAAGCAGATCACAAAACTCTGAGGTTGATTACAAATTTAGCTGCTGAAGTTTGGGAGGGGAGAGAGCTCCTATGTCCAGTCATTTCCCTGCATGGTTCCTGCCCTAAGCATAGACATCAACCACCCACCTCTGCGTAGGGAGACACTTCACTGCTCACTTCCTTTTGCCCACTAATCAAACTGGGCTACTTGTACCATAAAGCAGATTCAGGAGAGGATACCTTTACAAAGCTGGTTTCCACCACCATGGCTTTCCATACTATCAGTCAGCCTTAGGCTCTTAGAGTCAGCTTTATTAAACAGAAAGGGTTTGGGGATGTAACATATCCCTGGCCCATATCACTAAATGAGAAAACTGGACTGAGTTGCCAGAAACAAAGAGGAAGACAAAAGTAGAAATAACCTACACACACGCTCTGTTGCTGAGGTTTCCTAGTCTCTTGCTCTCCATATTAAGAAATGCACTGTTTGTGTTGGGGCTCTGGGGTGTGTGTTGCTGTGCATGCAGGTAGTCCGCAGAAGCAGTCAGGAGGAAAAGCTACTCTGCTTGGTGCGTGAGCGAGCAGGTCACACGTGTGAGACAGCTGTGATCGTGATTCTCATCCTGGTCTGGGAGGGAATCCCAACCAGCCTGGCTGATAAGCTCTACTCCGAACTCACCGACACCCTGAGGAAGTACGGCACACTCACGAACCGGCGGTGCGCCCTCAACGAGGAGTAAGTGGAGCAAAGGCTGTGCTCACCAAACCTGCAGCCACATCTTCAGCCCCAGACCCAGCACCTCTGCTCATCCTCTTACCCTGGAATACATGTAACCTTCCCAGCTATTTCTGGTGGTTTCAAAACCCACAAACCTTGTAAGAAAAGCAAAGTAAACACTCTTATAAATTGGAGAAATACCTCCTTCCAGAGTTGTGAAGCATCTCAGTACATTTAAAGGCAGAGACTGCAGCAGGGGCCAGAATAGGAGATACCTCAACCTTGAAATAAAAGTGAGATCATGCTATGAGCCTACACAAGCTAGGCTCAATCTAAAGAAATTGCACTATATCATTTTCCCATGCCTTTCTGAGAGAGAAGAACATTTACACCAAAACTACCATAGCTATCACTGTTTGTCACTTTGGCTTCATGGGTAGAGTCATATTTCAGGAATTATTGCTTAGCCCCTGTCAGAGGGCTCCCATATTCTTGCTGTGTCTCTCTCAGGTGCTGTGAATAGCAGTACCTAACAAGGCACCATCGGTACTCTTTCAAGCCAAGCCAAGTTTCTCACAGAAGGGTAGAAATCCCACAGACCCTGCTTTGTAACCATGAAGTTATTTACTCTGATAAATTCTGTTAGAATGGGTATGCCTCCCTCTTTCATTTCTTCATTATTAACTGATATAAGATGATCCATACTAGTGATTTCCTCGAACACTGGGCAGAACATTGATGTCCACTGCAGGAGTGCCTCAGGGTGACCTGCCTGCTGCTAACAGCCATATTCTTTTATCTTTTAGACGGACTTGTGCATGTCAAGGGCTGGACCCTGAAACTTGTGGTGCTTCATTTTCCTTTGGTTGCTCCTGGAGCATGTACTACAATGGTTGTAAGTTTGCCAGAAGCAAGATTCCAAGAAAGTTTAAGCTGATGGGAGATGACCCAAAAGAGGTTGGTGTCCATTTCTAAAATGAGCCTCATTTGCAAGGAAATGTTTTCTGTCACTCTGTAAATAGAGATACAGTATGAGAGAGCAGGGGCCAGAGCCCTCCCTGAATGGCATACATGGAGGGTAATTAAATAACTGCCAGTCAAAATCGATTGATTCCAGTCACTGAGCCAGCTGAATTGACTGTCCAAATTCTGACAGCTGGTAAAAGCCCTGAGCCTTGAAACCATGTTTGCAGGCTTTCACAATTACAGGAGAGGGCATGGCCTGAATAATTCTGGCTGTATTGGGCCTGCAGTCGGGCATTCCCCAGTGGCAGAGTGGAAGGTTTACCAGCTAATGGCGCGTAACACTGCAACTGGGAACCAGAGCAGGCTGGTTCAGTGGAGACAAACATGATGAAACTCTGGGAAGAAGAGGATAGAAAGGCTCATTCTACATACAGTCCTGCCCTGCTAAACGTTTCCAGACTGGGTTCTGTGTTACAGCAAACTGGAAACCATTTAAAACGAGTCAGGGTAATAAACATTGACCTTAGTCTGGACATATGATACCTCTGAAGTTATGACTGCAGTGACTCCTGGACACCTCCAGCTGGTCATGTAAAGCTCCACTGTCTGTTTTTTTGGCAAGCACATGCAAATTTGGTCTCTTGCTTGTTTACCGGTGCATAGGTCCACAGCTTTCACTGCATTCTGATGTCTTACACAAATCCAAGCGTTCTCATCATGTGATGAGAGACAGGTACTTCTGCGTCCTATGGCCTGTGCTGAGTGCCCTGTTTAGAATATTATCATAATTAACATACATATTTTCCTCCCCACTGCTCTTCTACAGTCCCAAGAATTAAGGATAGCTCTCCTCCAACCATGCTGTGGCACAAAGCCTTCTTTATCATAGCCTGCAATCCTACACTCCCTACATTTCTAAACTGGATTTCTAAGCTGGGCCAGAGCCTACCAAGGCACTCTTCCAACTTGAATTCTTGGATTTACTTGCTGTGGAAGTCAGATTTGGGCAGGAAAGATGGTTTTACCTTCCTGTCTTGGTCTCAAAGTCGGGGGCAGCCAAAGCATGCGTCCAGACCAGGGGCTGGGTTCCATAGCACACACACAGTTTATAGACAATAAAAATAGGATTCTTAATAATAAAAACTATGCACTAACAAATGGTAACCTACAGGCTATCAAAAGCTCCAAGTTCTGGCAGAAGCCACAAGGTCACAGCATGGTATTTTTTGACAATTTTATAATGTCATTTTAGAGTCTCAGACTAGGATATAGTCCTGTAGTAGGAGATACAAATTTTAATGCACCAAACATGTCTCTCTGAAACCCACAGGTTAATTGCAGCTCTTCACAGCCTCCTAAAATACAAAAACTTGTAAAACCAAGTATACCACTCCAGTATGCCACTGTTCTTTATTCACTTGAAATTAAAAATAAGGGTCTCATATAAGCAAGGTTTTGAATTTGGAATTCTCATCCTGAGAGGATGAGAAACAACTCTGGAGTATGTTACTAGATTACTTAATTTTTAAAGAGTCCTTTATTTTGAGAGTGTACACCTTCTAGAAGAAAAGAAGTGTGGTCATTCCTACCTCCATATCACCAGTTACTAGACACATCCATGATTCTTCATTGCTTAAGAATTGGGAAGTTTTTGAAGGCTGAAATATTTAAATATTTTTAAATAGCTGCACATAAAGATATTTCAGTGTATTGAAGTGCTGTCATTGCAATGTGCAAAACCCTTACATTAGCCAGATTTTCTTGGTGGACCATTCTGATATTTCTCTCACGCTTTCTGAAGAGTATTATTTTCCCAAAACTCCAATAGGGAAAATAATGAGGATTATAACACTTGGATCTAAAACATCTCCATGTTGAAGAATGTGATTCTTCTTAATATAAAGCAAATTTAGATTACAGTGTGTGATGGTCTCTTGCAAGGATCCCATTATACTGCTGTAACTGCTTCATTCCTTTGAAGGCTGTGGGACAACAAAATTAAAAGAAGATTCAAAACAGTTACTGTCTAAAGAAGAATGGTAATGGCCTTTACATGAATATCAGTGTAGACATAATTGTGGAGAGACCCTAAGTTCTTAGATCCCAGATACACAGTATGGAAATGTCATTGAACTCTTATTTCATCTCCTAACAGGAAGAAAAACTAGAATCCAATTTGCAGAATCTGTCAACCCTGATGGCACCTACCTACAAGAAGCTTGCACCCGATGCATATAACAACCAGGTATGCTGGGGGGAAAAAGGAATTGGAGCAGTCATGGAAATAACCTGATTTTTACCACACTTCCCAATGTTTCAGCCTTGCACCAAACCATTATGTACATTTTGTGACAGCATTTCTTTGATGTCAGTGTAAAGACAAATGGAAATGAACAATTCCACTTAAAATGCTTCACAAGTAAAACTAGCAGAATTTAGTCCACTAGAGCTAATCTTTTCAACCTACATCAACAGAATAAAATTATTTCACTCTTGAGCAGAACTCTTCAGCTCTAAAACACAAATTTCTGGATTTAGCAAGAGTTACCAACCAAACTAGCAAAACTGCTGTGAAGGTGTTGTGAAATTTGCAACAGTGCCAGAAGGTCGCGGGTCCTATTGCACTTGAGTCCTGATGCCACAGTTTCAGTTCTGCTCTCGAGGCAAATGAATTCAGTTTTCACCAAAATAGCAACTATAAACATGCTTTTTAAGTGAAGTTTTATATCTGAACACACTCGGCCCTGTGTATGCACACAAGTGCCTTCACCAGCCTCCTTGCACGAGGGGATCGTGCACGTGTATTTGCTGTGAACTGGCTGTTTGGTGATTCTAGCACATTCCAAGCTGGGATGAGGTTCCCAGCATGGCTCTTGTCTACACATCATAACCAAATGTCTTTCAGATATTTGCATCAAAATCTGACAACATACCATTCACAAACACACAAGTATTGGCCTTCATTTTATTGCTCAGGTTCACTACCACTATGAACATTCACAGAACTTAGAGTCTCCAAACTATTAGCATCACTGCAAACTACAGCATCATCCTCCTATTCCTGTTGACAGCATTGAGCTGTAGTGAACAGCCCAAGACAGATTTTCAACTGCAACTGAAACAGTAAACTAACAAAAAACTGTCTATTATTATTTGCTGTAAAATTCAATCCTTTACTGCACATTGCTGGACAGGGTGAACAGATTCAGTACAGACTTACTTACCCAGTTTCATCTACCTGATCAGGTAATATTTGGAGACTCATTATGGAGAAAACTGTGGCTGTGTGCCCACTAGCTGTGGTTATCTGTCCAAATAGCTGAGAGACATTCTGCAAGAGAAAAAAGGAAGAGGAAGAAGAAAAAGTCAGGGGGTGGTGAACAATAAAATGGTTCTTTGCTTGGGCTGCTTTATTTTCCCACAAAAGTTCACAAAAGAACTATTCTCCATGTAAGCTTGGTACTTACTGCCCAACATTTGTTGAAAGTACATGCTTTTACATGTTTCAGATTTTGCCTTATTTAATATAAACATATAGGCATGTATATAGTTTGGCCTATTTCAGGAGATTCATGCAGACCTTGTGTTTGTGGGGAAACCCTGATCAAGCTACCATCAGTGGCTTTAAAGAGAGATTATCAAGTTGTAATTTGTATGATACTGTAAAAGGATCTAAACTCAGGAAGACCTAAAACCAATCCCACTCTGAATCCTGAAAAGGAATTTCAAATTCCCACATTTATTCTAACCCAAATCTGGACAGCTTATGTGTTAAAATCAAGAATTGGAAAGGGTCTGTTTTCCCAACTGGACACAACAGCACATCACAGCAGTTACACCAGTATACTTTGGTCAGACAGCTAGTCTGTCTAGCACTTCAGACCACTCATGTTTAATTCCAGAGAAGTTTACACATTTCAAGTTTTGTTCTGCTTCTGTTTTCAAATTCCAGGGAAGCATATATTCCAAATTAAGAAAATAAATCCTTGTGAGCAAACTAGACATATTTTTTGTGATTTTGAATCAACACTTGACAAAACTTCTATTTTAACCTTAACTTGAAATGGGATCCATTAAATTCCATTACGTGTAGACACTTTTTGCATTCACTTGCAAGGTTCATGAATTTTAGCAAAGCATTTTGCAAATGTGATTTCATTTTTAAGTTTGTAAATAAAATATGAAACCATAATTTTTCTAAGGCTTGAGCCTTCATTACAAAATCTTTTCTTTCTGTGTAAGGTTTATGTTGCATTACAAATTCTTTGTAAAGCTCCTTGATGATGAGTGCATAGGTACAACGTAGTGTCTTGACTAAATTCTCTCACTTTTTAGTCAGGGGTTGGAGTTAGTACTTAAGGTAATGAATACATGTTTAGCACACAAAAATATTACAAATCAAAAGGCAAATTATTATTTTTCATGAAATCATTCTGAAACAAGTTTCCTAAAGCCATTTTCCCTTAATAGCTTGGTATACTTACATTCTACACAAATGTATCACTCTCATAGTGCCAGACATGAAAACCATGTGCTGAATCTGTCACATGAAAACACGAACTACTGGCAGGAAATCAAAGTAATAAGCAAGGAAAAGTAGTATTGGCTAATTTCACCATCAGGCCACAGACAGAAGGTAACAGGGAACAAAGCCACAAGGAGTGAAGCACAGGTACAAAACTGCCATCAAATTGCTTCATTTTATCTACCTTCAAGATGTCTTTGTTGTCACCCCCAAGCTGTTAGGGAGACCTGCACATTGTCACAGCCAAGTGTTTGTTGCTAATCCAGTGTCCCAGAGTGTCCAGCTCAGCTGCAGTGGTACCTGTTGTCATCTCTTTCCAGATCGAGTACGAGCACAGAGCGCCCGAGTGCCGCTTGGGTCTAAAGGAGGGTCGTCCATTCTCTGGGGTCACTGCCTGCCTCGACTTCTGTGCTCATGCTCACAGAGACTTGCACAACATGCAGAATGGGAGTACACTGGTAAGCCTGTGATGCCCACAGTCTCCTACTCCTGCACTCATGTCTTTCCTTATTATCTCCTGTCTGTCTAAATTTACACTCGCTTAATGCAGATTGCTAGAAAAAAAGGAACATTAAGCAGCAATTGAGCTAACTTATTACCCCCTTCACAGTTTTTCATTCAAATGAATGAGACAGCGTATTAAAGAAATGTTTAATACAGAATTGGTGAAAGAGGAACTGTGGAGGCAATGGAAACAAAGTCCCAGCAGGGCTGAAATGCCTGTTTCAGTGTTCCTGACACAAAATGGTTTGTATTTGTCCCGTTGAAACACTTTTTTCCTAACAACTTTGGATTGTATCTTCTAATAAAATAAAAATGGAAGCAAACAATTTCTTTCCAAGAGAGTTTTGAATTTTATTCCTGCTTGGGATGAGCAGAAAGTCTGCAAGCTTTACCATGCTTGGCATTGCACATGCACCCTTTACTCTCTTTAGTTTCTGATTTCTAGCATGTACAGCGAAGGGTCTGTAGAAGACAAGATGGTTTTCAGTGTGTATTGCATTCTTTCTGTTCCTTGCCTGCTCTCTGTGACAACACAGCTGGGGCAAACATGAGAAAGAATACTCTTCAGTTTTTAATAATCATCATGGTTATAATTTGAAGCAGCTACCTAGATTCGCAGTGCAGCTCTTGTTACAACCAAAGAGAATACTTCCCTTTTTAATTCCAACGGAATTTTTCCCATTTCCAGGGTCTGACTTAATGGACCAAAGAGAGTACTTCCCTTTTTAATTCCAATGGAGTTTTTCCCATTTCCAGGGTCTGACTTAATGGTCAAGTTAATCACCACCAATACAATGTACATTTCCAGCTGAGCTTTCTCCCTAAAAGTGGCTGATGCAATTATTTTGCTGCAAAGTATGTCTGTATCAGCATCTTTTTCCACCAAGATCCTCCCAACACCTGTTTTTGCCGGAGCTGGCACAATGAGCATGCTGCACAGCACAACAGAAATTTCCTTAAATCTTACTAACATTATAGTGGCTGCAAAGTCCTGGAAGTTGCCACTGTAAGGGGATGTGAAATACAATGCCAGTGTGTTATATTACACAGTGTCTCTAATAGGTAGCTACCTCATGTATTATAGTGAAAAAATCTTCAGGTGAGTACAAAGTCACACATGCCACTGCTTTAGCTCTCTGACCACAGTGCAATGGATCACACAGTTTATTTCACATTAGGGGAATCTCTAACTATACAGTTCATTTCAGCACAAGCACAAGAAATA